CGGTGAATATAAGTTACTGTATGTGAGTCTCTTCATCTTTTATGACATGGTCTATATAGAACTCAAGTGTAAGACATGAGTGACATCATAAAATGATAGATGGGGCATGGCTGGTATAATATGTTCCCCAAACAGGGATGACTGCACTGCTAGCTTGAAAATGTCTTCTGCTCTTGATGACTTAGAAAGAGAATGACTTCTGATGTCTGAACCTAACTCCTCCACCTAGCAGTGCTACAGATTTCAGATAGGAACATTACTGCAATATGAGTATATATATATAAAGATACCAGTAACCCAGCATCCTACTTCTTGAGTAAACCCCAAGGCACTTACAGTGTGACTAATCTCACTTACTTTGCCAGTCATTAGGCTGAGATAGCCAGACTTGTACATTTTTCTCCAAAAGCTGTAACCGGCTTTCTCAATGGGTTCGTTGTGGGCAGGTGTAACTAGTGCTGCTTTTAACAGCCTGCCCACATAACATTACCTTCAGGTATTCTTGAGAGAGTTCAGAAAACATGGTGATATTCCTGACTGGGGTGAAAAACAAGGCAGTGCTGGTCACATCCCAGAAATATTTATTCGGAAACATATCCTAACAAGTTGACTATCAGAGCTGCAGCTCCCAAATCAGACCAGACCAGAACAATCCCTCCCTCCCAGATATGAAAGGATACTGAGAAAGAAGAAAGGCAAAAGAAAGAAGAAAAGCACCACATTTCCCCTCTATTCAGTCAACCAAAACACACTCTGTGCTTTTCAAGTTCTATCTTAATTTGCTGATGTGGGCAACAGGATGAGGCTGTGCAGCCAGAGGAGGAGTGGAGACATGGCAGGACCCTCTAGGGGTGCAGGGCAGAGGCTGAGGCACGACCCACAGCTCCCATGAGCTGTCCCAGGCTGGGAGACGCATAGAATCACAGAATCATAGAATCGTTAGGGTTGGAAAGGACCTTAAGATCATCTAGTTCCAACCCCCCTGCCATGGGCAGGGACACCTCACACTAAACCATGTCACCCAAGGCTCTGTCCAGCCTGGCCTTGAACACTGCCAGGGATGGAGCATTCACAACCTCCCCGGGCAACCCATTCCAGTGCCTCACCACCCTAACAGGAAAGAATTTCCTCCTTATATCCAATCTAAACTTCCCCTGTTTAAGTTTTAACCCATTACCCCTTGTCCTATCAGTTCCTGATGATGAGTCCCTCCCCAGCACGTGGCCTGGCAGGTGACAGGGATGCATGTGGCCCGGCAGGTGGCCGTCCAGCAAGGCGGTCGCAGGATAGGCTTTATTAACAACCAGCTAAGAATAAAGATGCAGTTTTAGAGAGTGGTAGCAGGTTTTAGTCTGCACAGTCCTTATGTGCTTAATGAAGCAACTCATGTAGTTTAAGGGTTTACAATTTGGATGGTGAATTGGTTTATTTTTAAATAAACAGCCTGCTTGCACCAGGCTGTTTTTAGAAGCTGGTAACTCAGTTTAGCCTTTATGTTCTTAGAAATTCAAGACAATCTTTAATGAAGAGCCAGGATGAAATGGCCAATCCTGATGGTGGTATCGAGCAAAATACAAGCTGAGATTGGAGTGTGGCATTATTTATGAGTGTTTGGAAGGTCCAGTCTCTTCTCGGACTCTATTAGCTAAGCCAGTGTCCCAGGGCTTTACTAACATTGGTAATGACCCCCTAATATGGTAACACAATTGGCTCTCATGCTAGAGCTTGCTTTATACACTGAAGGAACCCCGAAACTATCATAGTGAAAACAGGAAAAAAAAAAGAAAAAAGCAAGTGTAGTAAAATTATTAGTAGGAACTATGAATCTGTTTAAGGAGATTTTAATATCTGTTTTTATAATCAATCCATTTGGCAGAGGTAAAATAATTACTGCATGCATGGATGCAGTAATTCCAGAAGTCATTTAAGAAAAAATGTTTGATCTTCCACTGAAGCATATGAGGAGCACTATAATGTGCTTTCCCCATGGGTTTGCTGTGGGGACAGTAAGAAAATCCTGATGAATAATAATATATTAAATGAGAATGAAATTATCTTCTCTGCTTCTTATATGACTAATCTCACCTTCATTAGTATTAATGCTAAGCTTTTAAACAACAGCAGTCAGAGCAATAGCTAGATGAGCTTTTAAAAACACTGTTTTTCATTCAAAATTAATGATGACACACCACCTGGAAACTGGAAGGCTTCAGTTAAGAATAAGAAATAAGCAAAGCCAGCAGGCTTTTGCAGGAACATTACCCAACAAAAAGCAGTCTAAAAGTGAGGTACTCAGAACCATCTGATGTCCTCAAATTGCAGATGAAGGATGCTGCCCAACAGTCTGCATGATATTTTTTCCTCTATTTTTTATTATTTTTGGGTTTAGTTTAAAGTAAATAACATAAATAGACACAAATCAATCTGCTAGCATGTCAGACTCTTTAAGGATGCAACCTTTACAAAAGGGGAGCAGAGCAAAAGTTTTTTTTCTCTCCAGTTCACCTCCAGCAGAGTCACATCACCATTTCAGAACAAGCAAAAAATAAGCCCAAAAGGTCAGTTAAGACCTCAGCAGCTCATAGGAAAACTGCTCATGTATCTTCAGACTTTCAAGGTTGGCTGCGTTTGCAAAAGCAGTACTGAAGTCTGCCTCTGATTTTTATTTGGCACAAATGAGATAAATTCACTCGAGTGATTGAAATGCCATTTATCCACACAAAAATAAACCAACCACACATGCACTTTCAAGCAAATACTTCAGCCCTTACAGGATTTTTCCTGCAGGATGGGGCAATTTGGGATTCAAATAAAAAGAAGGGTGACTGTGCCCGTTTGATGGAAATCCTGTACAGCTGCCATCAGCTTACACAAGAGGGGAGCAAAGAGTAGCCTCTCCCTAAAGGGGGGCCAACAAAGACAAACTTTACTCACTAGAGGTGCAACTCAGGAGAAATAAACCCAGGTCAAAATCTTGCTGATGCTTGTGGACTGGGAACTCCCCTCTTTATACTCTCCCCCAACTCCCAATATCTCTGCAGTTCCTGCACTAGCTTAATAGATAAATAAATATATAAACATATCACAGACACATTTTTCCATACTTTTTTCTTTTTTTGTTTTTTGAGTCTGCTGAATTAGCAAGACCAACATATGAACTGTGACACACCTACTCAGCAAGCCCTACCAAATGTGGCTTTCCTGCAAATCTGACAGGACAGCTCTGTTGTCTGTCTGTCCTCTGCACCTGAGGACAGACATCTAAATGTACCATGAGGACCTTACCAAGCTCCTGCTCCAAGCCTCATCTTGGTCAACAAAGAGATTCCTTTTGACCTTCCTGGAAGCTGGATTAGGCCTTTAAAGCCTTACATGTTAAAACATTCCATGGAGGCTATGTTTGCTCTAAAACCACAGTGAAGTAAATGCAAAACTATATTAATATTTGACATTGGCCTGTAAAAACTAGGAACTCAGAGTCAGGACAGCTGGTACAAGTTTAATTCACATCATAATTTCAAAATGAAAAATGCAGAATATCACATCTTCACGTTCAAAATCTACTTGTTTTTCTTTCATATCCAGTTTTGTTATTTCTATACCTACACCTGTTAAATAGCCATGAAATATATTTGCATTTATGACAGTTTTTTGATTTGCTCTCCCTATCTGATTGTGCTGGTTACACTGAAAGAAATCAAAACAGAAAAAAAGGGTCAGAGCGGAAAAAGAAAAAGAGAGTAGATTAGTTAAAATAAAACCAAACACAAATATTGTGCTTGTGGACTGTATTGAGGGGTTGGCCAGAAGTCTAAGGTCTTGATAGATGGTTCTCGGCAAGCAGTTTTATTGCTGGTACACAGCACGCTTTGTTCCTTTTGTTTCACTAAACCTGTCAACTTTGGAAATTAGTGACACGGGCATTCCAAATGTTTGACAAGTGGTCAGGCTCCGATATACATATTCATACTCCAGTGGTAAATGATGGCAGGCAGCTTCAGATGCAGTAAAAATGAATTCTTTCGTTTAGCCCAACTTTAATATAACGCTAGTTTCGTAAGCACTTCCACTGCTGAGGCAGGAGTGCCTCTTAGATAGCACACAGGGGAGACATTGTTTAAAGAAATGTTTCTTTGCTTGAACCAGAAGTCCGAATCTGCTCAGTTCATTTAAAATATATATATGTACATATATATATATGTATTTTCTTTTCCTCTGGAATAAATGAATAAGCAGTTCTTTTTGTGGTTTTCCTGATGCTCAGTGACTTACTATTATTCTTCCAGCAGAAAAAGGATCAAACTGTCGTATGAACAGATGTGTTCCTCCTCCTCAACCCCACACTCGCCCTGTCTCTTTGGAAAATGAAGGCGACGAGCCTGGTGTTTGACTAAAAGAGGCTATAAATCTTCTGGGGATATGCTGCTATGTCTTTGCACATAAAAAGTGTCGAGGAAAGGAAAGAGGTTAAAAAGCAAAGAGTACTTGTAATAAATCATATGCTGGGCTTGAGTTTTTAACTCTTAGAAGGGCAGGGCTGTTTTCATACACTAACAAGGGAGGAAACCCTTCTGCTCCGGGGCTCAGGGCAAGGGGCACATTCAGGTGTGCCCGCATGCCGGCTCCTCCCGCTTGCAGCGCCCAAGCTGCCGAGAGGAAGCAACCCCAGGAATGCAAACGCTGATCCGTCCGCAGTCGCCGCTCCGGCCGGGCTCTGCCCCGTCCCACCGACAGGTACGGAGCGCGAGCGGCAGCGACGTGCGGGGCGCCGGCGAGCGGGAGCTCCTGTGGCGGTGGAGCGCGGACGGCGGTGAGACGGGCCGGCAGGTGAGGCGGGCGCGGGAGCGGCGGGGCGGCCCCGCGGGGGCGCGGCCGCGGGGGGCCGGAGGGGGAGCTGCCCCCCACCGCCGGACTCGGCGCATGAGGCCCCGCACCGCTCCCGGGGCCGCCCCCTGCCTGCCCCGGCGGGGCGGGCGGGCGGCGGCGGCGGCTGCTGGGCGATGGCGGGGCGGCTGCGGGCGCTGCTGCGGGCGCTGCTGCTGCGCTGCCTCTTGCTGGGGCTGCTGGGCGGCGGCGGCGGCGGGCAGCCCGGCGGGGGCGAGTACTGCCACGGCTGGGTGGACGCGCAGGGCGGCTACCACGAGGGCTTCCAGTGCCCCGAGGGCTTCGACACGGCGGCCGCCACCATCTGCTGCGGCTCCTGCGCGCTGCGGTACTGCTGCGCCGCCGCCGAGGCGCGCCTGGAGCAGGGCGGCTGCACCAACGACCGGGACCCCCCCGACCCGGGAGTGACCGCCCGTGAGTGCCGGTTCCCGGGGCTGTCAGAGCCCGGCTCGGCTCGGCTCGGCCTGGCGCGGCGGGTGGGCAGGAGGCGGGCGCGGCTCCAGGTGCGCGCAGGGAGGAGGCGCCGGATGCTCGGGGTTGGGAGCAGTGAGAGCACCCCGGGATGCTCCTGGTGCGGTGGCTTCGCGGTGAGAAGCGCCACCAGCAGCTGGATCTATGCTAATTGGAAGGCGCGTTTGTGTTTTAAGTTAGCACTGGGAAACTTAACAGCGCCTGTTTAACTTCGTCTTTTCCCGGAGGTGCGGCTGGGCTCCCTCCTCCGGTGCTCTGCAGGCGCGACCCCAACGTGCAAGGATCCATCGTTTTTTCATAGAAAAGAAATCCGGCAGCGCACACGCAGAACACTTTCCCAAGTGGCACATTCTGTGCTTATTTTCCACGTTATGAGTGGGAGCGACTTAACAGCATCTGCAGCATTTTGAGTTTAGCTTGCAGGTTCAAGCTGTTAACATTGAACAGCCCCGGTGGTTTTGGGGGATGAGGGAGGGGAGGTTGAGTGTGATTCTTGGGTGAAGCTGAACTAGAACCAGCAAACGGGGCATGGTGTAGACAGCTTTTGCCACTGGTTACTGTTAAAACTGTCAACAGAAAGAAATTTTGAGTGGTATGTACAGGGTTTAAACCTTGATATTGTTCTACTGGTAATGGTTGAAAGCTCTGTTTTCTGAGCAGCTTCTCAGGGCGTTAGTGGGACTGAAAAGATATGTGAAACTATGGACTTTATATCTGCACAGCAGACCTGTTACTTCCGTATGCTAATATGCACGGCTTTTCTTATTCTTTCTTCTCTCAGAACCAATCTACATTCCATTCCTCATTGTTGGATCGATATTTATTGCCTTCATTATCGTAGGCTCTCTGGTAGCGGTTTATTGTTGCACATGTTTAAGACCTAAACAGTCATCACAGCCGATACGATTTTCTCTGAGGAGCTATCAGACCGAGACTCTTCCCATGATCCTGTCCTCGACGAGCTTCAGGACACCGTCAAGGCAGTCTAGTACTGCGACAAGTTCCAGTTCAACTGGCGGATCAGTGCGCCGGTTCTCCTTTCCGCGGGCAGAGCCAGGGTGCCTTGTGGCATCGCCACCTCCGCCGTACACATCTGGCTGCTTCCAGACAGCCCACACAGTGCACCTGACCCAGCCGTCGGGATTTGTGGTGTCGCCACCGTACTTTGGGTATGCTCTCCAGCCGGAGCCTGCTCTGGCTGGGAAGAGCTGCTCCGATTTCAGTCAGAGCTGAAAGGAGTTGTGAAGGAATAGTGCAGCCTTGCAAAGGAAGCGCAGGGACTGCTGCTGTTGGGTGTCACACTGACATGATGGGTGGCTTTGGAAGTCAGAACTGTTCCTGTGGGTGAGTTGCCCTTGAAAAGTGCAAGGTCTCATTTGGGATCTCATTTCCCAAACTTGGATCACACTAACAAATGTATTGTAGAATATTCCAAACCGTTGCTCTAAAAACTGACTGTCCAGTCTAATTTGTACAGAATGTCACAAGCAGAAAAAACATTTGGTGGGTACAGTTACTCATTTCATGGTGTTATAAATGACATTTTAACCCTGAATGCTAATAACTTAGTTAACAAATGGTGGCTGCATTCCACTGATAATAATCAGACTAGTTCTATAATGCAGCAAGGTGCCTGAGAAGTAAGAGAGAACTTGTATTTACCAGGGATCCTGAAAACAGCTGACTGCTTCCCACTTCTATAAGCAGTGAATGTAAGAGGAAGAATTGTATTACAGCTATCAAAATGCTTAGGATTTTTAAAATATGCTTAATATACTTGAACATACGCTGCATATTTGTATTAGTAAACTTTAACTATGATAGATAAAACTAGTACTAATTAGGCTAGTTGAAAATGAATCAGTCCCAAGCAGCCAAATAATTGTCTGAGAGAAGCAGAAGGTATTCAGCGATATCACTAACAACTTCTCCACGTGAAATCCTAAAAATGGTGGGTGTTGTGTTAAAGCATTTCTCATAAGGCAGTATTTATTGCTGGCTTTTTGCTCAGCAATGTGTGTAAGTTGGAGAAACTGATCATAAAGTTCTATGTATAAAATGTAAAGACAAACTTGTAAATTATAATGTATTTACAGCATTGACGACACTAATTATTTAGCAGTCACACACACAAGGTTATCAATAAACTGTGTGGTTGAAATGCTGTGTCATCTGTATGTCTCCGTACAGTGCTTGAAGAGCAAATTTTCACTTAGGTGTCATAACTATACTAGTTTTTTTTTCCTGTTAAAAATAGTTATTTTTTTCTTTTGTAAATGATTTACATTCTTAATTGCACCTGTTGTGCAGATTTAATATATAAAATTCTGACTGCATAGTAAACTAACAGAGTAATTAGTGTCTCTTATATGTAACTGCAGTAAAAATGTGGTAAAACCTACACTGATTAGTTGGGTATTTTAATTTAAAACATCCTGCCCTATGAATAAATTCTGTTTGCCCTTCTACATTCCTTCACCCAAGTAAACCAACAAGCCAAATGGAAACGCATCTAAACCAAACACATGCAGCCAGCAAATGGAAAGTACACAAGAAAAAATGCAGTCATTAAAGGGCTTCTCTGTACACTTACTTTTGTGAACAAACAAAGTCATTCTGTGTGTCAGAATCTAAAGTATCGGGCTGAACTTTCTTATTTTATCAGCCCCAAACTCCCTGTGGGCAGATCTACAGTACATTATAGCTGAGCTGTTTCACAAGTACCAGTGTATTGGTGCATGTTAAAATTACAGCGCTTCTGTCCTGAATTACAGTATCTTTGTATTTTAGAAAAGCTTCATCGGATCTTCCTCAAGAGTTGAATAAATGCTCTTTCTTAGCAGATATGGAGCAATCAGTATCTTAGCATCGTGAAAGAAATGATTTTGAAATAACCATTTTAATATATTGCATAATTGATTTTACAATTCAACAGATACTACTACTGGAAATGTGATTTCTGAGCAGAAAGACAAGTTGTATACAATAATGTTTTAGGCAATAGGCTTTAGTTTGAATGCTGTAATTGTTAATTTCAGCCTAAAATCATGATACACAGTAGTGTACCCGTTTTATAAAAATCTGAAAAGTGTATACAAAAAAGTATATTTCAAGTATTGGGTATTTTCAAGTATTGGTAAAAAAGTGTATTTCAAGTATTTGGGAAGTTAATTGAAAGGTGTTTTTTCTTGCAATTTTTTAGGGAAACAATCTTCAAGGAAGGGGGTGGTTAAATGTTTACCCACCTTTGGTGATGTTTCATAGGACTCTGCACATTTTGAATGGGTAACAAATATGTTCATCAGGTAACTTCTGCAAAAATAATTTAATACTGCAACATATATCAGCGCTGTTGTTTGGAAGTGTTCCATGAGACCTGCTGATCATTTTTAGCTAAGAAGGTGTAATTTTATGTACTTTTTGATTAAAGAGTGATGAACGATCGAGGCACTGACACAGGTGCTGGGTAGCTGAAATTTTGTATTCTCCTCAAAGACAGGTTGTACACAGTGAAGTCAGGAGCTGGACTCAGTTACTGCCAGTTAACATTTGGCTGTGTATGCTGAACAGGCCAGGCTGCCTCATCGTCATGGTCTCAGTGGGCTCTACAGACGATTTATTTGTGTTTTAACACAGGGACAGTTTTTTGCTACAATTGTGTACAGTCTTACAGATTTTAATGATCATTCAGCTTAAGTCAGGGCTGTGAAGTTTGCTGTGCAGTGTGAAACTCAGCATAGCAGGGAAGACCCCTCTGAGCTACTTCCTTTCTTGCCCTGATGCTGCATAATGGGCTTGACCTCATAAAATGCTTGAAGAACTTGACACACAGGAACAATTTCATTGAATCAGACTTCTGCAAGTCTCTTAAGATTATAGAGGGCTAAGCACTTTGCAGGTTGATAGCCAGAGTGCAACAAATCCTGCAGATGGGGGTCTGAGGCTGGGAAAGATCAGGTATAGTTAAAATAGCTGTATAGGTTTACCTGTGAAGCAAGTGGGGTGGGGATTTTGCAAATAGAAGACTCTGTAAATTAAGAAGAATCTATATTGTAGATGTACATATTCATATTCATGTAGCTACAGTGGCAGTGACCTCTGAAACTGAAGGGAGAGGAGAGGAGGTGGCCCACAAGCTTGTGAACAAAAATGCTCGTTGCCTGTGCCAGTAGTTTCCAACCCAGATGGATTCAGCTAAGAATGCTAAACGTCTTTCCTAGTGAAAAGGACCCGTTGATACTAGGTGCTCCTATGATTTATAGGAAATAGTAATTTTTGTGAAACTTGCAGACAGAACACTGATACAGTTTTAGTGACTAAAGAAGCAGTTTGAAGGGCTAGATATGTGCTGGAACTAAAAGCAGTTGCTTGCCATCAGAAGTAACATTTACACAGTACTTGATTTACTGACGTTTATTTTTTAACAAAGTAGGTTTAAGTGTTTCTGTTGTAGTACTGGAGTTAGATTATGCCCTTTTTGCTAGAGTGACACCAATCTACAATAAATTAAAACGAAAAAAGAATCACACCCATTAAACTGGTTATTATAATTGCCCACATTACGCACAAAATCCTTTGATTGCCATTAAATGGTAATGGCATGTATGAAACTCAAGGCTTCTGTGGGCAAAGAGTAACAGTGACAGGAATTAGATCAGCTGTTTGTGTTTTTACACTGTGGGTTTCTTCAGTGTGTTATCTTCGAAATGGATCAGAACTCTTCAGTTCTAGGAAAAACATTACATGTACTTGCAAGAATGTCCTGCAGGTTTTTTGGTAAGCGGTACAGTACATGGCTATGTAAACCAGGGGGAATTACAGACCAGTCAGTCTCATCTCTGGTCCTGGCAAAATCTTGGAGCAGATTCTCCTGGAAGGCATGCTAAGGCACATGAAAAACAGCAAGATGCTTGGTGACAGCCAGCATGGCTTCACTAAGGGGAAATCCTGCCTGACCAATTTGGTGGCCTTCTCTGAGGGGGCTACAGAACTGATGGACAGGGGTAGAGCAGTTGATGTCATCTACCTGGACTTGTGCAAAGCGTTCGACACTGCCCCACACGACATCCTTGTCTCTAAATTGGAGAGACATCAATTTGATGGATGGACCACTCGGTGGATAAAGAACTGGCTGGATGGCTGCATGCAAAGAATTGTGGTCAATGGCTCAATGTCCGGCTGGAGACCAGTAATGAGTGGCGTCCCTCAGGGATCGGTGGGACCAGTCTTGTTTAACATCTTTATCTCTGACATGGACAGTGGGATTGAGTGCACCCTCAGCAAGTTTGCCGATGACACCAAGCTGTGTGGTTCGGTTGATACCCTGGAGGGAAGGAATGCCATCCAGAGGGACCTTGACACATTGTGAGGTGGGCTGATGCCAACCTGATGGAGTTTAACCATGACAAGTGCAAGGTCCTACACCTGGGTTGGAGCAATCCCAGGCACAGCTACAGGTTGGGCAGAGAAGAGATTCAGAGCAGCCCTGTGGAGAAGGACTTGGGGGTGCTGGTTGATGAGAAAATGAACATGAGCCAGCTTCAGTGTGTGCTCGCAGCCCAGAAAGCCAACCGTATCCTGGGCTGCATCAAAAGGAGCATGACCAGGAGGTCGAAGGAGGTGATCCTGCCCCTCTACTCTGCTCTTGAGACCTCACTTGGAGTATTGTGTGCAGTTCTGGTGTCCTCAACATAAAAAGGTCATGGAGCTGTTGGAACAAGTCCAGAGGGGGGGCCATGAGGATGATCAGGGGACCGGAGCACCTCCCATATGAAGACAGGCTGAGAAAGTTGGGGCTGGTCAGCCTGGAGAAGAGTAGGCTGCATGGAGACCTGAAGGGGGCCTATAGGGATGCTGGGGAGGGACTCTTCATTAGGGACTGTAGTGACAGGACAAGGGGTAACGGATTAAAGCTTAAGCAGGGGAAATCTAGGTTGGATATAAGAAGGAAGTTCTTTTCTGCAAGGGTGGTGAGACATTGGAATGGTTTGCCCAGGGAAGTTGTGAATGCTCCATCCCTGGTGGTGTTCAAGGCCACATTGGACAAAGCTTTGGGTGACATGGTTTAGTGTGAGTTGTCCCTGCCCATGGCAGGGGGTTGGAACTGGATGGTCTTAAGGTCCTTTCCAACTCTAACTATTCTATGATTCTATGGATTGTTTGCAATACTAATCCCACTGGAATAATAACAATAAAAAAGTGAAAATGTCCAAATTATTTTGTCACTACTATTCAGTTACAGCTTGACCATGACATCAAAGAGATGGAATCAATTTTCAGTGCTGTTTTTCTGCATGGTGTAATGTGCTGTGTGGACTTAAACTACTCTGAACAGAGCTTCTATTTTTTGGGACGCGCACACACACACATCCTCTACTGCACCACAATAATCACATAAGCAGTGTTTGATTCACAATTACATTGAGGCTGTATTCAATAGCAAATGAAGAAATCCCTGTTGTGTTTTTTTTTATTCGCTCCATCTTGTGCATACTCAGGGGTCGTGGCGTACATCAGGTTAGTGAAATGATTTAGCTTAAAAATAACGTTTGCCATAAGACGGAAAGGATTTGAAATGGAGCCTGGATCATTATAAACTGGATTATAACCCAAGTAATTTCTACGGCCTTGTAACTGCTAGTGTAATATACACAGTGACATACCATGAGGTGGAATCTCTGTAAAGCAGCTCTACCATTAAATATTGGGTATCGGGAAACTAACAGTATTAAAGACGGATCTGTTACTGAACCTGCCTTGACAGAATACATCTAGAAAATAAATTAATTGTCTAGTGTATATAAAGAATCAGTCACCTATCTACAACCAAAACTCAGCTTAGGTTTGGGTATATGGCAGGGAGGTTGGAACTTGTTGATCTTAAGGTCCTTTCCAACCCTAACTATTCTATGATTCTGTATTAAGTTTTATTCATTTGGTGGGCACCGTTGCGGGACAGAATTACCTGCTATTATCATAGCCAAAGAATAGCATATTTATCACTACCATCTGGAAAAGGAAATGATAGTTTCTTTATTTCCACTCTATCATTGTT